GCTACTAAAACGGTCGCATTTGCGACCAAAAATATTAAATTGCGAGTGAAGTTTCTGCTGAGGTCGCCACTGGCGACTAGGCCCATGTATTTACATGTTATAACTTAAAAATTTGCATGTAATGCATTTTTTCCTGATTGTTTTGCGATCATATCTTTTGTTATGTTCACGTATTAAACTGAGACAATGCGCATCAAAGTTAACAATTCTCGTTTATAATCATTAATAATATGGCTTCTTCTTAACAAGATCTTAGTCTATGCTGTGTTCTGTTAATGCGTGAACTTCATTATTTGAAGCGCACCTGCCGTCCAGTAATCGCAAAAAGCTTTGTGCATTGTTACTTTTTAATAAACAAAGTATCATCTTTAAAATTATTCCAAATTCATAACGAAATTCAAACAATAAATACAGTTTTGTTTTTGGCGCTCTTTAATGCGGCAGACACGATCGCTTTAGCACCTCAGTTTAAGCAGCAAGTGAACCCATTTAATTTTTCTCTTTACTACTATAGTACATAATGAACATGAATTAACATCAAAAGGTAGGCTATTTTATAAGAGATCCTACAGTACAACTTACTGAAATGTCTCATGTAAAAGCTCATTCAGTGTTTCAAACTGCAGAAAACGTGTAAGTCCATAAGCTCATCAGTCAGCTAGAAAAATAACTATAAAGAGGAGCATTTTGCTATGTTTATGCGCTATATTGCATATTAATGTTTTTACTTAACCTGTTGTCTACATGATTCAACTTTTTGCATTTTACTAATTAAGAAAAACATACTGAAAGTGTGAAAGACATACACTTAAAACACTTTAGAACACTTCTTCACAGAACCATTTTTGGTTCCACAAAGAACCATTCAGTCAGAGGTTCTTTAAAGGGGTCATACCGAGGAACCCTTATGCTCAGAAACGGCCCTGGTTACAATATAAACACATGGAGTTATTTATATCTCATTTACAATAATGTACAGTATTTGAAAAATAATGTGTTTTTTGAACATTAAAGCATGTCAACATATTCTGTTACACCAATGTAAGGAATTTAACTCATTAATTCTTATAAGGGAGTTAATCATTAATTTTATTTCTAGCTCAGGTTTTGAGAGGACTCGAATCTGAAAATTTGAAGTCAACCTGATTAAAACTGATTTCAAATTTGATATTTTACACTTTATCAGCTACTCGTCCAGCGAGTATATATATACAGTGGGTACGGAAAGTATTCAGACCCCCTTAAATTTTTCACTCTTTGTTATATTGCAGCCATTTG